TTCAGATTAAATCAGATCAGATCAAGCTTTAATGATGATGATGATGATGATGATAACAAGTCACATAAAATGTAAAACAATCAACTACCAAACTATATTAATTCATACCAAATCAAACCCAAAATTTTAATTCAATTAAAAATGTACTTATTAATGAGTAAAATGTAAGATCTCATAATTAAAATTTTAAAATGTGTATTTCATACCAAGTTGAATGAGAAATACTAGAAAAGTATTATTTTGAAATGCTCAATAAAGTAATTTAGATGTTCATAACAATTAAAAATTGTTTTCAATGTAACTTTGAGTAATGTTAAGAAAAACTCCATTTTTTTTACATTTATGGTGTGACGAAATAATGAGTAGAATGTAACATCTTATTATTAAAAAGTTAAGAGTATGCACTCACATCAAGTTGAATGAAGAATAGTTGAAGAAAAAAACTTGAGGTGCATAATAAAGTAATTTAGAGGACGTGAGATTATGAATTCTTTAAAATCGCGTTCACAACAATTATATTTACTTGAGATTCTTATGTAGAAGATCGATTTAACTATTTTTCATATAATCTTTTCTTGGCTTCACAAATGGAATATATTTTACATACTTTTTTATGATTCAGGAGATTCCACCCATTTAGCTAGAATTTAATCAATTTCAGTAAAATAAGTTAATTCGGTTTATTTTAGTTTATCAAACAGACTATATTAGACTAATTAAGTTTATTATTCTTTTAAATCACATTACATATGATCCGAAAGAAATTAAATTTCAAATTAGCTAAATTATATATAGTGCCCGTGCATCGCACCGGCTTGAAAGCTAGTTATCACCAATTCCTCAAAGCTTAACATGTCCACCCCTCAAATTTTCTATATCTAACAGAGAGACCATTAAGAAAAAACTTACCATTTAAAAAAATTCAAAGAAATATAATATTCAAATATAATCCTAAACAATTCATCAATCAAAATGTTTGACATAATATCCATCTAGTAATAATATATATGACAATAATCATACCAACAACATCTAAGAAGAAATGATAACTAATCCAAAACCGTACCTCTTCATCATCATGGAATATGCTTTCAATAGAAGGGGAGAAGTAAAACTATCATGGGTAGAAGCATTCCACACTGCTACTGCACCAACCTTGAGAGTCATGTGGCTTTGCTTTGATTCACATTTCACACTTTAGAATAAACTGGTTTCAAATTGATATGCTCCGTATTTGGATTGCACTGGATGCATGCTTCACAGATTTATACACATGTTCCGTCATTTATGTACACGAATTAAAAGATGTGAAGACCCAACGAACATTGAGCAACCATACATTAAATATTTCATTGGGGAGCCAAACATCAACCTATATATAAAACAGCCAATTAGAATCATTCTCTCATTCTTGAAATGGGAACACTTATTCAAGAATGATCAAGGATATCACTCATGCGAAATTGCGAAGTAAGCTCGGCCGTAAAGCTTCGTCCAACCTGAGTGTGCAATGTTGATGGAAGAAAAGCAGGAAACTATAAGGTCGGGACTTGTCCAAATTTAAAACACACGTCGGTAAAAAAGTGGCTAAATAAAAAAATGTGACTATACCCAATCGAAACTTAGGTGATGGGTGCAAATTAAAGAAAAATTTTAGATAATCTTTTACACATACACTTTTACACTACAAATACAAAATATGTCATTCTATCTCTCAGATCATTCTTAATAACTACGTAGTACTATGTAATGCGTATTTCACAAGTAAATTACTTTGATGATTCAACAACGACAACAACATCATCCAAGCCTTAGTCCCAAACGATATTGGGGTAGGCTAACATGAATCGATATATGATATCACCAAAAGGAAAAGAAAGAAAATAAAGATAAAAAAGATAAGCTATTATAAAAAAAGATAATATAAAAGAGATGAATATACATATATAAGATCAAATAAAAAGGATAAAGTAATATTTATATATAAGGATAAAAATATAAAAGAAAAAGAAAAAAAAAGAAGAAGAAGAAAAAAAAGAGGGGAAAAGATGATACAAGATCACCCCTCCACACGAATACCCGCCCTCCATTTTGCTCTCTCCAAAGTCATATCCTCATCCAATCCAAGAAGAAGCATATCAATTCTGACTCCCCTAACCCACGTCTGTTTGGGTCTTCCTCTCCCTCTCTTCCCTACCTCTTCTCCACACATCTCAACTCGTCTGACAGGTGCATCACTCGGTCTTCTATGCACATGACCAAACCACCGTAGGCGTGACTCCCGCATCTTATCTTCAATAGGTGCTACTCCCACCCTTTGTCTAATTGTCTCATTCCTCACGCGGTCCTTTCTAGTATGCCCACACATCCAACGCAGCATGTGCATCTCTGCCACACTCATCTTTTGAATGTGACATTGTTTCACCGCCCAACACTATGTGCCATACAGTAATGCAGGCCTTATTGCTGTCCTATAAAATTTACCCTTCAGTCTAGTCGACATACCTCGATCGCATAGAAATCCCGACGCACTCTTCCACTTCATCCACCATGTTCTGATTCTATGGGATACATCTCCATCTAACTCACCGTTCTTCTGAATTATGGAGCCCAAATAACGGAACATATCGCTGACCGGTATCTCCTTACCATCTAAAGTAATTCCACTATGACCACCGCTTCTAACTCCACCAAACTTGCACTCCATGTACTCTGTCTTGCTCCTACTTAGTCTGAAACCCTTGTTCTCCAATGTCTGTCGCCATACTTCCAACTTTGCTTTAACCCCTGATTGCGTCTCATCAATCAATACAATATCGTCGGCAAACATCATGCACCACGGTATATCATCTTGAATTGACTTTGTAAGTTCATCCATGACTATGGCAAATAAAAAAAGGACACAGAGTCGATCCTTGGTGCACTCCGATAGTAATAGGGAACTCCGCAGTCCTCCCTACACTAGTACGAACACTTGTAGTACAATCCTCATACATATCCATGATGATGTTGATATACTTGCGTGAAATGCTTTTTCTAGTTAAGGCCCACCAAAGAACTTCTCGAGGTACCCTATCATATGCCTTTTCTAAGTCAATGAACACTAAATACAAATCCTTGTGAGCGTCTCTATACTTCTCCATAAGTTGCCGAAGAAGGTGAATAGCCTCAGTTGTTGAGCGACCAGGCATAAAACCGAATTGATTCTCCGAAATCTTCACCGTTCTTCGAAGTCTTTACTCAATCACTCGCTCCCAAAGTTTCATGGTATGACTCATAAGCTTAATCCCTCGATAGTTGGCACATTCTTGTACATCACCTTTATTCTTAAATAAGGGAATAAGAGTACTCTTTCTCCAACTCGTTGGCATCTTGTTGTTTCTCCAAATTTTGTTGAAGAAATTTGTTAACCACCCGATGCCTCTCTCTCCCAAACTTCTCCAAGCCTCGATCGCTATGCCATCTGGACCCACTGCTTTCTTCCGCCCCATCTTCCTCAGAGCCTCTTTAACTTCCGTTGGTTGGATCCTTCTCACAAAATCACGATTTACCATACAATCTGGTATGGTCAAATCATCGACATCTTGCACTTTGTTCCCGTTGAACAATGTATCAAAGTATGATCTCCACCTCTCTTTTATCTCTCTGTCCTCCATTAATATCCTTTGATCAACATCCTTCACACACTTTACTTTTCCAATATCTTGAGTCCTGCGATCACGAAGACGAGCAAGTTTATAGATATCTTGTTCTCCTTTCTTAGAGTCCAATTTTTCATACAACTCCTTGTTCACTTTCCCTTGTGCTTCTTTTACGGCTTTCTTTGCTTGTCTTCTAGCCTCCTTGTATGCTTCTATGTTCTCATCACTCCGACTTATCCCCAGCTTTTTGTAGCAATCTCTTTTGTTCCTTATGGCTTGTTTCACCTCATCATTCCACCAAGACGTGTCCTTTTTGGGTGGCAGACATCCTTTAGATTCCCCAAGTACCTTCTTTGCCACTTTGTTAATGGTCAGCTCCATCGATAACCACACATCCTCCACATGTGTTCCATTATCAATACGCCATACATCTTCACCGAACATTTTGTGTGTAAAGCTTTGTTGAAGATCCCCCTCAAGCCTCCACCACTTTATCTTTGGCTCCACTTGTTGCTTAACTTGTCTTCTATGGTTCTTACCTCGAAAGTCGAGCACAAGCATCCTATGCTGAGTGACAACACTCTCACCTGGGATAACCTTACAATCGGTGTATGTAGCTAGTTCTCCAAGTAGTCCATACTAAGAAGTAGTCAATTTGGATACTATTAGCTCCACTTCTATAGGTTACAAGGTGAGAGTCTCTTTTCCTAAACCAAGTGTTCATTATAGCCAACTCATACGTCGAGGCAAAATCCAAAATGTTCTTTCCCGCTTCATTTTTAGTGCCAAAACCATGGCCGCCATGAATACTCTCAAAGCCATCACGAATCGAGCCCACATGCTCGTTGAGGTCGCCTCCTATGACCAACTTCTCTCCCCTTGGCACTCGTCAAACCACATCTTCAAGATCTTCCCAGAACTGTTGAGTTGTAGATGCATCCAATCCCACTTGTGGTGCATAGGCACTTACCACAGATACAATCTCACCCCTCATCACCAATTTAAAGAGCAAAGCCCGCCTCCTCCCCGTTTTTTGTCCCATCCAAAGCCAGGTTGTCCTCTCCTTGAAACTTCTCTGCCCGAGTCTCCTAGATTTTCCTTCTCTTCGAAATCTCTTCCTTTGATTTCTCCCCTGCTCCTTTGGTAATACTTTGGGCTGATTCTGTCGTTGTCTCTTTCTCTTTTTCACCTGACTTTTCTTCCCTTCAGGAGCCATTTATTACCTGTGGAGGGTTGTTATAAAACTCAATTTGATCAAATAGAGAAGTCAAATTTCTCTCAAGTAAATAAAGGTGCATGTGAAATAAGTCAAAATTACTACTCGAGTATCAAACTAAAAATACTGTGTATTACATGTGAAAGAGAAGCATTCATTGATGGCTACTTGTAGGCTTCTAGACCCTGTTTTCTGTATTTTATTCTCCAGAACAGAGACGACGACGAAAACTCACTCTTTCATCGCCGCTTTACAGTATCCGCCCGCGGCTCTACCTTTTCCCGCTCGCCCAATTGCTGGCTGCACTCTCTTCTTTGCGCTCCAATTCTCATTTTTCCTCCCACTTTCTCTTTGCCTCCCAATTGCTCGCGTCTCTACAAGCTCAAACATCTGCTGAATCGCAGCTCTTCACAGGTTCGACATTCTCTTTTCCCTCCTACTTTCTCTTTGCCTCGATTAGCAACGCGTTTCCAGGTAAAGCGTTTAGATTGAATTTCAATTTACTTCTCCATAGAATCTTCTTTCGCACCCCCCCTGTCATTTAACTTTTGATCTTTAAACTCAAAATGTGAATGGTGAGAGTAAATGGATGGGCATAAATTCAGTAACTTATTGTGATCCTGCCAGACATCCTCATGTAAATTACTTTGTTTAGTTTAGATGTTAATGAATGCACTTAGCTGTTACTTGTTTGCCATCTGATCCATTGACATTTAAAGCATCTTAGTTTTTCCTTTCCTTTTTTTTCCATGTCCATTCCAATGATTCGAAGGACTATGCCTGTTTTTTTTTATCGCCAATCAGCTTATAAATGTTTTCGTAAGGATTCTTCAGTTTGATGGGATGCTTCTTTGTTGCATTAGTGTATTACTAAGGTAACCAACTAACCATTAAGCATTAGCTAGTGGCCTACTGTGGACGAGATCTTTTTCAACTTCCATTTTATGATATACAGACACACAGTAGCATCTAGCAAAATGTAGAATTTAAGTATGTTCACTGATTAGTAAAATGTAAATGTTAAAATTGTCATGAACATTGCCAATGGAGTGGAAATAGTGTTCACCGATAATGGTTATAGACTTGCAGTATCATTTGGAGAAGTGTGCAATAAAAATAACAAGTGAAGGTAGTACAAGTAGCTGCATCTCCCACTCATTTTTTCGTTTCTGTTATGCATCATGTATTGCTGAGCACGTTAAAGAAAAGACAACTGATGCTTCGATAGTCTGAAAAGTTTTAATTTTTTCAGATCCCATTTGTGCACAAAAAAGTGATAGGATTGACATTTGGTTTTTCATAGATGCAGTTTCTTTTTTGTTTATCCATCGATACTACATTGTCTTCCAAACAAGTTATTGACATCAATTCACCTAAAATGATGGTGTCACTCGCCGAAGGAAATGTTCTTGCACGAGTAGATAGGTTGCTTTTCATTGTTGCATGCTTGTGTAGTCCAATATATTTGCAAATCAGTATGAACCAAAGTATTTGCAACCAAAATGTACAGTAATGTATATCTACAAAAGTAGGCTTTGGTCCAGTCCTCCTACTCTTTGTACTTCCTTTTCTATTCAATAAAAGGTAAGGTATTTCCGGAAAAAAAAATACCTACAAAAATGAAGAAACTAATCAGTACACTAGTGAGTTATGTCCAGGGGCAGATCCATATATATAATAGTGGGGGCAGCTGCCCCCAATAAAAATCTCATAGTCCCACACAAAGCATAAGGAATAAAACCATTTCACACATTTGCCCCCAATCAAAAAATTAGATTGCCCCCAATAGATGTAAAATTTAGTGGTTCAATCCAGTTCTAAAATCAAAGAATTTCAAACCTAAGGTAAGTTTGAGGCGGCAATTGTGTTTCTGGAAGTGCAGATGACAAAAAATAGCCTTTTTCAAGAAAAACAGAAAAACTTGATCTCAAGAAGGCATCAAAGGCTAATGTAATTTAGGTACTAAGTATTTAATTATCTAGACTCAAGTCTTTTTAATTGTGCGGACTGCATAGATTGAAGTGTGTCGGTGTAATTAAGTCTTTTAAGTCAATTTTATACAAAGTATTTAATTATCTAGACTCTAGAATTGTTTTTAACCTATATGTAAATCATGTACTCCGTAATAAATAAACAAATTAATTATCCAATTCTATAAAAGTCTTAGTATGTATGTAGTATAGTAGTACGTCAAATTTAAAAATTAACTATATCCTAATGTAAATAACACTTTCATAAAGTAAAATTAACTTCATGTTAATGTAATTAACACTATCAGGTTAACAATATTATTAACATAGTTCAGTTTTATCACATATGATTTTTATTGTGTGAAATGCATAAGTCTTGAACATGAAATAAGTATTTACATTAACAATATGTGATAGCCGATCCAAGGTTTGGTGGCTTGAAAAATTTCTCGACAAATGTGGTGCAAACAAGAAAACATTTTTCACATAAATTGATATACAAGCTTTCGGAGCTAGTTTTGACTTTGCAGGTTGTCAAAGCAACCGTTGAAAAATGATTTTATATTGTGATTAGTTTTTAAGTGACTTTTTATACAAAGATATTTATTTGAAAGGGCCACAATTGTGATATACTTTATTAGAGATTTTTTATATTGTACAGATTAATATGTTTTATTTAATTTGGAAAAATTATCGTGTTCTCTTTCTGTCCTGCTAATATTGTCTCGTTTTATTTTTTTTTGAAAAATCTCACTAAAATTGTCTCATAACAAATTTGGTAAAGTTTATGTGGTTCTAAATCATTCTTACTTTATTCCTACTTTATCAATTAATATCAACCACATAAACTCACTTTTTTTATAACCGCGCCACCACTTCCATTTCAATATTAGTGGAACAAAGGTAGTACTTTATAGAAATTTTTGCTACTCTCAAATGGCTCATTAAACTGTCTGCTCTTCTTTGTTATGAAGCAGTAGTCAGTCCATGCAATTTTGGACGCGATTTTCACTATGGGTCATCCGGAAACAGTCTCTCTGTGCTTTAGTACAGGGGTAAGATTGCGTACATCCGACTCCCCCCTTACTCCACCGTAGGTGGGAGCCTTTGCGGCACTGGGGTAAATGAAAATGAAAATGAAATGATTTTGCCCCCAACACTTTCTTTTTCTGGATCTGCCACTAGTTATGCCTAGTTATCTCTGTGATAGCACCTAAAAACACCCAATGGTTCGTCATTTGCATCTAATCTACAACACAACGGAGTAAACAATGAACAGTGATTCCTCTTATTTTATGACTTATAAACATCTTTCTTTTAAGCCACAAAAGATACATGCCTGATCCGGTTCATCTTTGTTGACAAAAAGATCTTTAGTTTCTAACTTTAACTTCTATGGATTTTCTTCACATAAATATAACAGGAATTCGCCTTACTGTTTATCATCATGGAGGCATAGTGCGATAACTATAGTAAAGAGATTAGTAGACTTTATAGATGCTAAACTTCATGTGTGATGGAGAGTGGAAATTTATACCAAAGCAGTCATGTGATTCAGGAAGGCATTGCACCCATCTCAAATGAAGGATGGAATGATACAGTATCGTCACGTAATAGCCTGGACCTGGCAACTTGTAGGGTGTGCCAATGCTCTAGAACTGACAAAAGGGGAGATGCTGTACTGGAAATTCTTCGTATAACCCCTCCATCAAGTGACACACAGGATAAAAAGGGGGAGGTTAGGCTGGACCACACCACAGAAACAAAAGATAATGGAAATGAGTTCAGTGCTGTAACAGAAGCTAAAGAGGGATCTACTTGTGTTGAAATTGTTAGTCCTGATGGGGAAGTTTTTGTTTGTGATGCTGACATTGAAACGGGTTCTTATCATAACCATGGCACTTTAATTGAACTTGGCTGTGACTGCAAAAATGACCTTGCACTTGTGCACTATGCGTGTGCACTCAAGTGGTTTGTCAACCATGGATCCACCAACTGTGAAATATGCGGGTGTAAAGCCAATCACATCAGAGATGATGACTTCAATAAAGTTGTGAACTGTTTGAAAGCATATAATATGCTGAGAGAGAGGACTTTAAATGGAGAGCCTGTTCCTGATGCTGTTGCAGCTATTCGTAGTCTACGGTTGAGTGAAATTTCATTGTGGTTCAATCCCTGTAACAGATCCGCAGTAGTTTCACTTGTTACTGAACAACCTGCTACTACTTCTGATATGCTTGAAGATGAAGCCTTCCCAACTGAAAATAGGGCAACCAAGTGGGCTGTAGAAGGCACTGGTGTCCTCCTTGCTACAGGGCTGCTTACTTTTACTCTTGCATGGCTCATTGCTCCTCATGTTGGAAAGGTAACTGATTTATTTTTCATCTGGTGGTTATTTTAGCAATGTTATGTGAATGGGTCTGTTTTGAATCCTTGTATGTAGGTGTATTTCTTGGTTGCTGAGGAGTTTTTTAAAGCATACTAGTTACAGTTTAAAATAAATTTTCATACAAAAAAGAGTTCTGTTTCAAACACCTTTTTTGTTCGAAAAAAGTGATGTTTGTAAAAAATCTGTCATGTGCTCCAGTTTCATGTAATTTACCAAAAATATCACAAAAAAGTTGTGTATGATGAACTTACGTCATCATCATTACCCCAGTGCCTCAAAGGCTCCCACCTACGGAAGGGTAAGGGGGGTCGAGTGTACGCAGTCTTACCCCTGGACTAAAGCACAAAGAGACTGTTCCCGGATGACCCATAGTGAAAATCGCATAAAAAATAGCATGGAGTGACTGCTGCTTCACAACAAAGAAGCGCAAATAGTTTAGTGAGCCATTTTGCTTTACTCCATTATCAAGCAAAAAAATAGCGAGTCTTTGGCTCCATTGCAAATGAACTTAGCTAAACCAACAAATAAATTTTAAAAAGTATAACTAAAATTTGTGATTTGTGAGATTTTGTACAGTATTGAAAATTAAAAAGCTATACATAGCTCAAACAAGAACCCTTTCTTTTCAATAGTGGTAGTATAGTTTCATTAGTTTGTATATATGAATAGCCGAAAGGTAGCCCATTGGTTTTGGACTTACATTGAAAGACCATATGTTAGATTTTAGTTGATAGATCTGGACATATGGAACATCTAGAGAAGGTTCGTCTAAAGAATCAATGTACTTATCGTGATGGCTGTTAATAACCAACTGAAAGTATACTAGTATACTATCATATCTGATGGTAGTTACCATAGTTTGAACGGAGTAGTAAATTGACACTGATCTATTTGTTAGTATAATAAAGCATTTTAAGTGTCGTATGGGGATGTGAGGCTGTATGCCAAGGTGAATGATTTAATGGTATCCATGAGCTTTTGTTCTCTTTCCTCTTATGTCTTTGCATATTTATATCGATTGAACCCATTAAAAGCTCGTTTGGTAAAGGTTATTTGGTGGATGTAGCTGAACTTGCTGAATTTCCAGAGAAAAAGCGTTTGGTGAAATCCATTCCAGCCACATAACAATTTAAGTTTAAAAATTATTTTTTCTATGCAAAAAAAATAAGTCTAAAACTACTCATTATGGTTGTTCTGATTATTCTGCTCATAAACAGAGGAAGCAACTTTTGGCTACCAAACGGATACTAAATTTCCCACCATTATATATAGATTCGGAGATCCTAATTTACTACCATTACTAGCGTTATTATTGAGTTTAACTTCGTGTGCCTTTGAAGATTTGTATATGATTGCTCTCCCCACTTGTGAGAAACTAGTAGTTATTGCAAGTTGCAACTGACATTATACATTGTCTTACCCCCCCCCCCCCCCCCCAATTTAAAGCGGGTGTCCGGGACCATTTTGGCTCGGATAATCTCGTCGATCTTGAGGTTTGCGACCGGGTAAACTCTTACTGGCCTTCCGATGGGGTTCGAATTAACAAACCCATAAAACTTTTTGTTGGTCCAAGCCAGTTGAGCAACCCTGAAAGGCTATTTTCTTCCCGTGTTTTAGCTTATAATGTTTGTGTGTATTCCATTTCAAAATGGTTTTGATTTACGAACACTTTTGGTTGTGTAGAATACTGCAAAGAATGGACTGCATATTCTTCTAGGGGGCGTATGTGCTTTAACACTTGTAGTCTTCTTCCGCTTTGTAAGTTTCTAATCCTTCTGACACTTGAAGAGAAGAATGGACTCATCATGAAAAAACTTGATAAAGAAAAAATTCCAATACCAATGTTATTTTTCCTCATCTTAAATGGCTGCAGGTTGTGTTGGCAAGAATCCAGTATGGACCTGCACGCTACTGGGCAATGTTGTTTGTCTTCTGGTTTCTTGTATTTGGAATATGGGCTTCAAGAACACATTCAACTTGATCTTCCTCTCTTTTCTTGCACCTTCATTAAAATAGCGCATGCAAGTATAGAAACACAGTTTCTTACTGCTATATATGGATTTTCTCCTTTACAGCGCTCTGCATACACGACATGTACATTGCTCCAGAAGTTTTAAAAGGTTTTAAATTGAAAGAGATTTATTGTACTACTGTTAGTACTGTATACACCAGTACAATGGAGAGAACTGAAATTCGCTTGTCCTCTAAAGATTTTTTCTTTTGGACTGAAATTTGCTGGTCTGATCTGGTCTGGTAAACGTCTGGTATATGTGTATTTTATAACTACGGAAGTCAAGTCTGGTCTGGGACTGAAAATAGTCCAAAAGAAAACATCCTAAATTTAAAGAAAGAATTCCGGTCGAGTTCACGCATAAGTTGTCCCCCAGCTTGATATCTGGACCTAAAAATCAATCACAACACTACTTCTTCTGTATAGAAATAATTTCAAATTTTTAAACTTTTAAATAATCATATGTTGCACAGTGGTATATTTTATACTTAAATTACTGTATTTCTTGTTATGATACCTAATCAATAATAGTTACGTAGTACTTCGTAATTTCGTATTGAAACAATGAAATAGAAAACTATGAAATTGAACTGCCAAAACTCGATGTAAATTAACATTTCAAAAACAACTTAAGAAATACTTCATCCATTAAATAAATCCCATTTTCGACTAAAGCGCAAATTTTTCCCAACCACTAAAATCAAGATACGAAAAAAGGAAATGTGTTATAAGAGAATTCCTGAAACTTTTATAGTTTTATTTGAAAGGCATAGTTCAATTTTTAATGTAATTGATAAGAGTGAATTCTCCAAATAGAAGTAAAACATGAACTGAATGCAAAAATAAAAATAAAAAATTGTTTTAAATTCCCTAAATATGAATAAATATGTTGTTTGAACAAAAATACGCATGTCAAGTGTTTGGACTACTACTAGCTTTTCACCCGGGCCAGTTCCGGTTCCCTAGTTCACAAACAAACGCCCGGCCGAGCCCAGGCCCGAACGGCAGCCGGCCCGGCCCGGCCCGGCCCGAGTCCATCCCTACGCCAGAGTGCCGCCACCAGTTGCCACCACTGCATTGCTCCACTATCAACATAGTGACTTTGGTTGTGTAAGAGAATTAGAGGGGACAATTAATTATATTAGGGATAGAAAAGTAATGTTTAATTTATTTATGGAAACTGCCATTAAGTTGACATATTTGACACATTGGCATTTTTTCGGTGGTCGGATGTGGTGGTGCTGGGAGATTGTTGAGGCGGCAGGAAAGGCCAACACATTTGTTTTTACTTTTTATATTTGTTGAGGTTTAGTCTCGCAGATCTAAAAGTCCAACACACGCTTTGGATATTAAAGACGTTGGTCTTAGTTTAAAAGGGTATAAAATATAAGACTGAATAATGTTGCACTCAGAAAGCCTGCTTGTATTAAGTAATTCACAGATTACACTGAAATAGCCCGAACGGCACGTCGGAACAGTAGCTAATACAAGAACTAGAGTGATAGATCTATCTTAGGCTCTGAGTATCAAAATGCTAATCCTTTACAATGTAGTTAATGCATCTATTTATACTAGAAAAGGGGATAAGTGGGATGATGACGTGGCCGAAACCGGTTGGCTGCTACCTTTGCCACTTGAGTACCCATGCTTCCACTTGCAACCGCCATACTTTAGCATTTAATGCAGCTTGCCACTTGTGTACTTCCTGTTCGGGTACTGGACCTTGATGCCGATGGCCGAGTGTAATGCTTCGTTATTTGCTACAAGTAGTATAATTGGACCGTCCGGGATATTCCGTACAATTGTCTTTCTTGATGGCCCGATCCGCGTTCAGGTCCTCATAATTCTGTCTTAAGTTCCTCTTGTGCTTGCTCCTTTCCTTGGGCCCTTGGCTGTTCGGGCCGGGTATTGGGCTTCGGCACAATATCCCATCAATATTTTTATTTTTTTATTTTAATTATTTAAGTGGTAATTTTTTACACACATTGGCATTTAAGTTTTTTTTTAAAGTTTTTTTTTCTATTTTTTTATTATTTTTTATTTAATATTTAGTTTCGTGTTATGTTATTACTTTTATGTTTTAATTATTAATGAAATATAAATTGTATTAAAATATAACAAGAATGGAATTGGAAAGCTAGTCTTTATTAGAGATTTTTAAAAGTTATAATTCTATTTATGCAATTAAAGTTTCACTTAGTCAGTTAGTCCTATTTGGAAAATTCCCCCAATCAAATTAGATTGAATAAGATACACAATGTACTTTGAAATGAAAAAATAATAACTAAAACGTCATGGTGTCAAATTTACTGATGCTGGCACGTCGATAGGAAAGACTAGCAGAAAAATTAACTACTTGCATGACTGACTAAATAATGCTGAACAAATTTGAATGCTGAAAGCTTATCTAACCACAACCAGCTGATAAAATACAAACCCCGCTAACCAGCAGTTATTTAACTATATACTAAGCTCAATAACACGAGACAGCCCTTGGAAGATGACGGGGCACATACTTGTACTGAACTTTATCACATCTTCTCTCATCCAAGTTTTTGCTACTCTATCCAGAGTTCCCAGTGACAAAAGCTGGTATAACCATTCTGCTTCTCCATCTGGGTCTTCTATCAATCTTAAAGTAAATGAATAACCTGCGACCGTGAATGAAGACAATGAGTTCTGTATGCTTTTTATTGGTATTGTAGTCTGTAGATAACTCATATATACTGCTAATGACTAGTTTCTTTTCAATTATAAGTACATATTTGAAATAACAATACTAGGGAACACGCCATTATGTCAAACTTAACTACAAAAACACACATTGGAAATGCTAAATTTAACTATTGCAATAAATCGCGTGGGTCATGTCTATCTGGGTCCATCAGAGCCCATTGAATGTGCACTTGGTCAATCCATGCCCTGGGTGCACCAACTCACCAGACCATAAACCAATCAATTATATGAAGAAAATTATGCCACGTCTGTAATTAATTGACTTCTAAGGCTCTATTTGGTAGTCATAACTGGCTTATGAAGACTCTAAGTTCTTCATTTTGTTGAAATGAATGTTACCAGAGTCTGACGCTTTCTCTTTAGAAATCTCAAAAGATTCAGTCATATCCTAAACCTGAAATTTTTTTTTCCTTGGGCAAAAAAAATCTTTATAACCAAAATGGAACAGAATGTATGCATCATCCTAGATTTATTTATAGTTTTTATTAGACTTTAGAAGAGAATATGGGAGAGTTCTAGTGAGAATGAGAATCCTTTTTAAAATGAGAACACATTTATGAATGAGAACTTTTAATCTCCACCTTTCAAATTTCAAATAAGTGGCTAGAATCAACAATGTGACATTTTTGTAATACTATTACAATAATTATTTAAAGAACCATTTTGAATTTTGAATAATTAAACAAAAGACACCATTTGCATACTAACCGGTGATTTAGTAAAATGAAAGGTTGTGATTAAAAGTCATCACTATAAGTTCACATTTTACAATGGGTTCTCACTAGAGCCCTCTCCCGATGGAATACTCATCTTTTTTTATACTTGTCATTTACAAATATCATTACCACTGTGTTCGTGTAGGAACGAGATAAAATTTTCCTCATTCTCCTTATGTGGTGATAGTTTCATCTGAACAATGCACTCAACCAGTTCTTGGAACATACAGGTTACACGTTCTGCATCAGCTGCCTCATTTGCTAAAGCAACTCCATCAACACAAAAGTTAGACAGACCACACAAAAGATCGTTGCAGAATGCTATGATGTATACTCATATACCTGAATCATTTTTTGTTCTTCTACAACATGGAGCCTGGAAAAAGGAAAAAAAAAGTGGCATAGTAATATAGAATGAAAGTTCAAGGATATTCATTTTGGGTTTGCAGAAAAATATTACTACGAACACCACAGATCCCCCCCGAGGATAGCAGTATAGCACTGACCTCTATCATTTTCTTACATAATAACTCTTTAGCAGATTCCTTCATGTGGACATCTAAGGTTCCCTTCCTGGCAACAATAGATGTATCATCATTTACTGGATATTCAATGCTAAGAGAAGGAGATAATCGCCTTTTACGCTTCATTGCACGAGATGAAACATCCACATGATTATTTGCTTGTCCGTTTTCATCATCTCGGGAAGGGTTGTTGTCTTGTCTCAGTCGCTCAACAGTTCTAAGCCTAGCAATTTCTTCAGAGAGATCTTTATCTGCAACATTGGATTTGAGGCACTGAATATTATTAAAAACAATTACGGAGTATATGTTATTAAAAATTAGGTTCAAAGAAAAACCATGTCCTTACTTTTTAGGTTCGCTTCCATCAGTTGATTTTGGTAGTGAATTAGTTGCTCATTGTTGGTAGATCTGCACCAGGATGAGTATTTTAGGAAATTGTTCCTAGTTCAGGATTTGGGGGGGGGGGGGGATCCAAAGATAAAGTTACCTCACTGATGACAATTCACTTCTCAACTCATGCACTTGCCGGGACAGTTTTTCTATTTGACTTTTCAAGTTCTTTTCTTTGTCACGAGCAGCTTAACTCAAAAAAAAAAACTTCAGCTTAAGACACAAAGTGGTTCACAGTTAAGTATATGCATCATATCAATTTTCTGGAAAGCATAATAGCATTATAATAAAGATTCATTCAAAAATTACATTTATTTCCGTTCATCATCATTTCCATTTACCCCAGTGCCGCAAAGGCTCCCACCAACGGTGGTGTAAGGGGGGTCGGATGTACGCAGTCTTACCCCTGTACTAAAGCACAGAGAGACTGTTTCCGGATGACCCATAGTGAAAATCACATCCAAAATTGCATGGACTGACTGCTGCTTCATAACAAAGAAGCGCAGACAGTTTAGTGAGTCATTTTGCTTTATTCCATCATATTCTCAAGCCAAAAAATAATGAATCTTTGGCTCCATTGCAAATGATGGAAAAATTATTTCCATTGTACCCAAAAAAAATTCAAAAGTTACATGGACAAAGAAGGAAGTGGAACCCTATGTCGAGAAACATATAACCAAAGTATGAAAATTTGCAAAAAAAAGGAGTGCATAAGTTGATTAACTCATTAACATACCAGCAACATGCTTCTTGAACTTCTCTTCTTGTTCTCGTATCATCTTCTCCATCTCTGTATATTTTCCTTTCTATAGTGCCATCAAAAAATTAAAAACGTTTGTAGGTATAATAATATGAAGATCTAGACTCAGACGAGGCAAGAACAGACCTTGAGATTAATGTACTCTTTATAGAGCTTTGCATAAAGCGCTTCAATGTCGAATAAACCCACAAAAATCCTCTAAAACTGTTTGTTGTGACTAAAGAATAAATTGAGTAAAAAACACAAATTAAATGAACTGTAACGGTAGAATGAAACAAAGCCCTATCTCTCCCTCCCAATTCTCCAATAGACATTCAAAAGAGAAATTTGAACCAGTGAACTGATGAACAAATTGTTTAACAATGGAAGTTTCTTACACTAAGTGGCTAGGGTTCTGAAAACTTGTATGGGGTCAGAAACTATGGCGGAGAGTTACCTGTGGGGGGGGGGGGGGGGCTAGAAAAGGCTATTCCGTGCTATTTTTTATTTATTTATTTCTGTCTAATGGTTTGGCCTTCAAAACGAAACTGGTTATGACTTATGACCCCATATAAGACCAGACAATTTCCCAAGAACTGGGTCTTACAGGAAACTGTTTATGACCCATATGTGGTCTTCAAGCTCACACTCACTTAAATGCGCATTTCTATTAAGCTCAATTTCACTTCTCATTCCCTTTCTTCAACGGCTATCACAGGTGGTCTCAAATCATACAAGTCTAGACTGTGAAACAAGAAAGCATTTGATGTTCACAAATCGAAACCCTTAGACGAAACTGAGAAGCGGAAATGGAACCCTAATACGAAACTTATGCTCATAAAGCTCAGAAACTCTTACCTATTCAGCAGGTCTCTGTAGAAATGGCCGCACGGATGCTATCTGGGGATGGGGCGGGAGAAGAACAGTTAAATTAAATTAAATTAAAGACCGTAAAAAGAAAACCTCACGAATTATGTTAACTCTTTTACGGCCTATCTCAGCGCGCCTTCAAATATGCTCTGCGCACTAGACCCCTTTTGTTATTTAATCAATTCGAAAAGCACACATTAATTTGGGAATCACACATCTTTAAATCTTTAATTTTTTTGTTTTTTGATGAACTTCAAATCTTTAATTATTACGCAGTACTCCGTATCACTGTAGGAGCTAGGGAGGGGCATGAGTTAGGCATGGCAATAGGTCGGGCAGGACGGGTACTGCAAGACCCGGACCCGCCTCATGACTTGACGGGGCGGGTCCGCCCCGCCCCGTGACCTGCACGGGTCCAAACTTGTTGACCCGTGACCCGCCCCATGCGGGGCGGGGCGGGGCAGGTCCGCCCCGCCCCGCCGTAACCTAATTAGCTAATATGTATTTCTATTTGTGGGAAGTTGTTACCAATTGAATCTACATAAAGTTTATCTCTGAATAATAATTAAAAATTAATATATTAAATCAAATTCATGATACGCTAAAAATTTCAAAAATTAAGAAAAAATTACTCAGACTTGAATAGTTAATCTATTTAATTATATTAATAATTGAATATATGTATTAAAATGCTATATATAACGCATACATTGATAATCTGCCGTTCATCTCATTTTAATATATATATATATATATATTAATATATTATAAGATCAAAGAATTTAATATTTATTGTACACACATATGAATGTTGAAGTATATTTGTAGTATAATTTAAGAAAAAGTATATACACTTTTATATTGAGCAGGGCAGGTCGGGGCAGCACGGGTCAATACTAAGACCCGGACCCGCCCCATTGTATGGGCCGGACCCGCCCCAAATGTCTCGAGCCAGGGCGGGTCATTGCGGGTCGGGTTTTTTTGACATCCCTAGCATGAGTGGGCAAACGCCCCGCTTCACACAACTTTTTTTAGTACTAATACTTATAATATATTTAATGTCCCTCCTTCAAGGATAATTTTAGATTTAGTACGGTGTTACAATAAAAGACAAAGTCCTTCAGGAAACGTATGTGTTTCTATGAATACAAGTGTGAATTATTTTAGACATTTAATGACACACAGATTGACTTTCGTGCTTACAGTGAACAAGAAAGTGTTGCGTTTGACGAATTATCACATTTCTTGTAAGAAAAAGATCAAAACATCTCGAGACAATGTTGGATTCTCTTCTTAGTGGAGAAACTCAATTTTAGAACTCATGTTGGATTGTATATATGTGTGCAAAGAAGTATTGAATGTTCTAGAATAATAATGTGGAGTTTTCTAGAAAAATGTGGAACTCACTAAAATAGTGTGGAAGCCTCTGGAACATTTTGAAGAATTGTGAGATTTTCTAAATCCTTCCAAAAGATAAGAGAAGCTTGTGGAAACTTTTTTGAAGAATCTAGATGCGTAGTGATGTATAAAAAATTCTAGAGACACTTTGATGAGATTAGTATAGAAAAGCTTCCCATTTATATGAGAACTTTGAGGAGGGCTCTTGAGTGAGTAAAAATGAGTCTCCTTGAAAGAGGAGAGTGAGAGTCTTCTTGTGAGAAAAGAAGACTCAAAGATATCGTTTGATGAAGTGTATGTGATCAAGTAAGGTAGAGTGAAGTAGTCTCATATACAAAAGGTGACCGAGTTAATACCAAGTGATATTGTCAGATTATGTCTTTGTATTTTGAGTGTGTGGATATATAAGTGTACGAGAGTCTATGAGTTCGTGATCCTGGAAAAGATTGGGGTCGTGTTTTTCCAACATAAAGTTATTATACAACATTTTGAAAAAATTAAAACTCGTATGATTAATCTATTGATATTAAGATATGAGTCAAGCAGTATGTAATAAACTAATTTGTGCTAATGTATTACGCTTTTATTGTTTTTATATTATATTTTGAGCAAATACACAAAAAATTTAGCCTTCAAAACGCCCCCTTCGAAAAAACTCTGACTCCACCACTGCTCCGCATTGTTTAATTTGTTTCCAAAGAACAAGAATTTCTAAAACATGCTTCTCGCCTTAAAAATTATAAATTTAAAATTTTAAATTGCAAATTAAAAACTAAAGAGTTAAACAATAAAATTTATTTTTATGTTAAAACATTAACTCTTTAATTTAAAATTGAAAAATTATTATTTTATCCTTGTAAATGAAGCACTTCAAATTCATAAATATTAATTTTAGTGTTGCGAATTTTCGAACACAATGTTACATTTTTTGAAATAACATTTTTTTTGTTTTGTTTAAACTTAATAAAATTAAATTGATTATATTGTAATCTTGAACTATTTATCATCATACAAATATGTAATTTTATAGTGCAAAGAATACAAAGACAAATAATGATTTCTTAAAATTATAACAGATATGTTAACACTTTTCCCAAAAAATCATACTATAGTAAAGTTTTTTCAATTCGACACAAGTAGATGTTTATTTTGTCTTATTTTTATAGTAAAGTTTTTTCAATTCGACACAAGTAGATGTTTATTTTTTCTTATTTTTTCAATTTTGAATTTTAAATTTAAAAAATTCATCCTAAACATATTGAGTCAGACCAGACCGGACTTGAACAATAGTAAAATATACATCCATCAGACGTAATGTTAGGGGTGCGTAAAGCAACTCCCACTCTTTTATTGGGGAGAACCTCCCAAATACAGACACATATTTTAATGACCAAGTTTGTTTTTTGGCGGATTCTTGCCTACTCGCTGCAAATTGCAGCATTTTGCAGTTCAAAACAATCAGCGGATTGCTCAAATCGTTGCTATCCAAGTGAGGCCAATGTGTTAATCTGTCAACAAAAAGGACCCACTGTGTAAAGAATATACATTTTATTATTAGTTTTGAATTATCATTATCATATTAGTTCCCAAATAATAAAATGTTTCAATTGAATCATTATTTCATGTAGTTTGTATCATTCCAGTCCTCTTGTCATTTTTATCATTAAATGGACGAGTCTGTTTAGTTAGTGCCTATTTAATAATAAAACTAGTTGAATCGGTTGAATTTACTATATAGTAAAATTCATGAAGTTCTGGTTGAAGTATCAATATTGGCCGAATTTGCTTAATTATTAAAATTATATTTAAAATAAATTTTGTTAATAAAATTAAGAAAAAATTACATGAAAAATTGTTTGTGAATCCCAAATCAACGGTCGATTAACTAATAAGCAATAATATGAAAATTTTGAGTAGAATAATTCATAATGATGAATTATGATTTAAAACATTCAATACCGGATATTCATAATGATGAAACAATGATGAACAATACACGGATGAACTGATGATCGAGAATAACTAGTGCTCTACGTGAGAATAATAGGTGCGGAATAAATTGTGTAGATACTTAGAATACTAGCATGAGAGCTTCGAGAATGATATGGCTATTCTAATTGTGAAGCCCTCTAGTATGTTCGGTCCATTCATCCTATATTTATAGGAGCATGGCCGAATATCCTTGTTACATAAGGATGGGCCGAATAACTCTAATTAAATGGCTCCTAATAAATTACAAAGGCCCACTGATTAAATCCTAATTAAACAAAGATAAATTTAATTAAATTGAACACAATATATTATATCCTAACAAAAATAGCTAAATTGATATTCTACAATCACTTTAGTCGATTCTACATATTGTCATGTGATGTGAGTTTTCTCGCACTTTAAAATAGATCGTAATATAGTGGTGTAAGTACGAGTATCGTCTCCACAGGGACGGACAAAAGGGAATTAAAGATTAACTAAATTCAGCGATTAAAAAGAAATAAAATAAAATAAATGCAAGTGTGCGAGATATGATTGGTTTGGAAAATAAAACTAATGCGAACAATTAAACTAGGGGGTTCTTTCTAATTAATGACGAAGGGAACAGGGATCGATTCCGGGGTAACCAGATTTCTGGCAGATCAGGCCTAATTACATGAAATTAATTTAATTGAGCCTAGCTAATCATTACTAAGTTCTTACCGCTCTCGCGGCGTAGAGTACAATAATTTAGGGGACCAGGCTGATCTCTCATGCGACAGGATCCTAAATTAATGCCAAGACGAGCGAGCTTACGGCCCCTTAATCGCTACTAATCTCTTAGCGAACGATTAAGTGTGTGTGAATGTGTCCTAGAACAAATTAGATCTCTCTTAATTTATTCTACATGCAATTGTAATTCTAGTCGCGATTCTAGGTTACAAAAGATATCAATTAAATTATTCAAACACAAATTAAACGGCATTCATGCAATTAAAGCGAAAAGAATCTAGCCATACATCATGATTAACCCCTTCATCAATCTCAAATCCCTAATTAAAACTACTCACAATTCATAACTGAAGAATCAATGGAATTGGAATAAAAAGAATTAATTGTCATTAACTAAAAAGGTGGAACTTACAAAGAATCCCAAAAGATTGATGAACAAGGCTGAAAAGCCCTCTAAAATTCGTGCTAGGCACTCTCTCTAAGCTCCCCCCTTGAAAACGGGGGTTTACAGGCTGTTTAAATAGAAAAATCGGGTGAAATTTGAGCTGAATTATGATTTTCGGAGCCAGACACGATGCCAGGCACGATCGTGCCTTCGATCGTGCCTCCGGAGCAAAAACGCGCATTTTGGGCAGGCACGATCGTGCCTCCCTCCAGGCACGATCGTGCCTGGCTGGCAGTAGCTCCGCGGTGCTTTTCTCTTCAGGCACGATCGTGTCTGACTTTGAGGGCACGATCGTGCCTACTTAACTTCCGAATTTGACAAAACTTACTTCATGAAAGTTGTAGATAATGAAGTCCTCTATCCACCCCAATTTGCCGAATGTGATTTGAATCATCCAATCAAGAGATATGATCAAAACGGTGGAAGGTGTCTTTCTGAAATCGCAGCAGAGATCATCTGACTTCATCGTCTCTTTTCACCTTCTTCCTCTCAGATTCTCGCAAAAGTGTCTTCATATGATTTGTAGCTCTTGAAGTTGGCTTTCTTATGCAACTTGAATCGTGTCCATTGGTTGTTCCTACAAAGAGATAAGCTTGAACGATTGACAGAAGGTCATTCTGATCGTCGTTTTCAAGCTTCATTCATCTTCTTTTGATCCTGAAGCCAATCCTAGAGCTCTTTTTCCT